AAATGCATCATCCCCAGACTGTTGAGGGGACAGCAGAAGTTGTAAAACTGTTCATTTCTGTCTGTGACGGTGCCTTGCTCTGCCTGCCCCATGCAGTCCTATGAGTAGTGACAGCAGCCCTGTCTCCCAGGGGAGGGAGCCAAGGCTCAGAGGTCTTCAGCAGCTGCCCAACAGTTACACAGCAAGTCCTCAGGCACTAGAACTGGAAGCCTTGCTGCCTGCCTGACTTCCTTCTGCTCCCTGACATGGTGTGTATCCTTGTAGGCCAGCGTTTAGAGATGGAATCCAGACCCACTGCCTCGACCCTTCCTTACGGGTGATATAAACAAGTTCAGGATGTTCCGAGGAGGCAGGGTCAAAGGATAGCCTGCAAGGACTGCATTTCCTTCCCTTCCTTTCTGCAGACTTCTCTTTCCTGCTCTGCCCTGTCTGCGATGCAGATGCTCCTGCAAGGGACTCGCTCCTGCCTCAAGCTGGTTCGATCTGGCCAGGGTACATAGGTGCTGCCCATTTGGATAGAGCCTTATCCACTGAGTAACCTGGGTGTCATTTGCACACGTACTGCATGGGCAGGTAGGGGCCAGCCTGAGAAGGGTGAGCACCCAATTTTTGTTATTCTTGCCTGCTATACCAGTTTCCTCTTCTGCCTCTCTGGGCCTCACGCTTCTGGTCCACCTGGAGGACTCCAATGCCTGTCTTAGAAAATTATCTCATATATCATATGTAAATGCCTGGCACGCCTCAGGTATATAGACGATGTTTGACACTTGGTACTTTGTAATTTTTAACTTGAACTTGGGGCTGTTTTTTCAGCACACGCTTTGCCCTCAAGCTGCCCTGACCCCTGTAGCTGCTCTGTTGCAGTCCATGCGGAACCCAATGAAACAAGGCCACCCAGCTCCCCATCACTGCAATCCCCACCTCTCCACAGAAGGAGAGTAAAGTGTCTGTAGATCAGCCCAAGGACAGCTGAGCATTAGCAGCATGGGGCATTGTCTTCTTTCTCCATTCTTGAATTCATTTGATATTTGCACAGTCTAAGCCCTTGTCTTGAGCTAAGGAGGAGGCAGACTCCACTTGGGAAACATTAATTGACAAGATGGGGTCCTTGGCTAAGTCCTAAATTCCTCATTTGTGATGTAGAGAGGGCCTCTGGTATAAGGGGTCAGGAGCTTTGCATGGAGTTGCATCTACAGTTAAGACCCAGAGGAAGTAGGTTGCAAATTTGGCTTAGCATAAATAGCTGAAGGTGGAGTCTTTGTCCCTGACAAAACCAGGGAGAGTTCCAGTCCTTGAAACCTTACCCATTTCCCCTCACCCAACAGGTAACTGGGTATCCTTCTTAATCTCCCTCTCGACTTTCATGCGACCTTGGCCAGGTAGGCAGAGCAGAGGCTGTTGATCCTCTCGAGGTCAGAACACCAACGCTCCAAGACTTACCATATGCCTGTCCCTTTAACTGTTGTGTGAGCATCTGCTCGATGCCAGGTGTGTGTCTAGGTGTCACAGGTCTAGCATTGACACATGTGTTGCTCACTGCATCCATAGTGAATTCAGCCATGTGCTTATGAGCTCCTGGAAGTGAGAAAGAAGGGATTCCCAGAAATGACCACAGAATCATTTACAGAGCACTGAGTGCAAATCTGTGTCAACAGCAATGAGCATCATTGTAGGGGCAGATGATGGGTGGGGTACTGCTTTACGTGGGGTGCACAGGCAAGGCCTCCTACATGATGCTTGTGAACTGTGTATAGATGGGAAAGAACACTTTGAGCATTGGGACAGCACAGGCAAAAGCCACTAGAGGGACTGCAGCCAAATAGTGCCCTTTGAGGAGCAGCAAATGGACTAATATGGAGATAGTGAAGGGACATAAATGGGGGTCATATGAGGATATTGATTTCCATGTGAATGAGCTGACACACCTGGAGGGTTTTGGCAGAGGAACCCGACCCCAAGCCTGAATATATTGGTTATAGGACTTGGGATTGTTCCATGAACAACCTTGTCACACAGGTGGGGCACTTAGGACTTCTATTTCTTTCATGGTTATAGTTCTTCCCATAGCTATTCTGCTGCTAAGGCAGAGAGATTGGGGTGAAGAGTTTGGTGTGAGCCAGGCAAGAGCTGAAGGGTGAGGCAGGGGAGGGAAGCTGATAAGAGAACCCCCTTGGGCCTGAAGTACACAATCCCCTCCCTCTCTTTCTCCTTCTCTCAACCCTTGGCTTTTACCCACTTCCCTCCATCCATCTTGGAACATCTGGTGAGGCTGGTGGATCAGTGCTGCTGCCACTTTAGATTAGAAGCTGGAGGAAGAAAGATTTGTTTTTAATCAGCTCAATTCCAGATTAACACAGTAGATGCTTCCTGTTTTTGTAGAGCATTAGCTGTGGAGGACAGGAGAAGAACATGGATACTGTGGATGATAATAGAATATGGGTGAGCAAACAGAAAAGAAAAAGACATATTGCTGTATGTTACAGAATCCCAGAATGTTAAACCTGGCAGAGACACTTAAGACCGCCCTGTCCAAATGGCTCCATGACCACGTGGATGTATATCAAGCTAGTTCACTAACTGTACACTTAAAAATGGTTAACGATGCTAAATTATACTTGATACATATTTTATCATGTTGACTAAGACATGAAAACTGTCTTCTCGGGTCTCCTCTTTAAGATTGAAAAGCAGAGGTTGAGTGACTTATTAGCCGCCTGGAAGCCCTCCTCCCATCTCCTTGCCTGGCACTATTTACTGTGACCACAGATGCCTCTCCCTCGTCAGTGGAAATGAGTCTAGGCAAACAGCCACTCCTGATTCTTGGAGTTCCTAAAATCCACCTGTGATGTCTTAGAAGCAGTGCAGCATTTCACAAAGCTTTTGCCAGAGAGTCCCAGCAATCCTGCTTTGAGTGCTTTTCCTCCCTTCTAGGACTGTTAGTGGATGTTCAGATCACTTTGTAAGGCTGAGACCTGTAGGCAAAAGGGGAAGAGAACCAGCAGAACATGCACTTGGTCTCCAGCTCTGACTGGGGACCACCATGATTGTCCCCATGCTCTTTCTTGCTGTACTAATCGAGCTCCATAACACAGGGTAGAGGCCTACATGCGATGTGTGCTTCTGAGATGAAGGGACTGGTGATGTAAATGTTGGGGGGCCTTATAGCTCTCTCTAGAGGGTTCCTTATCACCTCCTCCCTACCCCGTGCCATCTTTGTAACAGGCTTTTGTGGATGTGGTGGGTTGCAGTTAACAAAGTTTGTGTGGCTTGAGAACCAGCAACTGTGTAGGGCAGTACTCCAGCAGGAAGATGAAGGAAGGATTTCAGTTTTGGGTACTGGAAGTTTAACTTAGTAATATTTAACTTTATTCCCAAAGAACTATATGACAGGAAAGCAGGAATCCTCAGGAGGCACTCAGGCCAAGGAGAGAAGCCTGGGCTGAGAGCTGGGATGCTGGTTGAGGATAATCCTGTTACTTTCAAGTTCAAGTGGAGCCTTGCACAAGCCATTCACCATTCTGGTCCTCAACTTCTAACGCAGTAAATTAGATATGATGAATGTTAAGAGGTCAACTTATTTCCAAAGGTATTTAGTGAACACAGCTTTATTTATTTTATAATCAGTGGTGACCCAGTCTTGCTGGGTGCCAGGGTCTGGGAGTTCAATGTAGGATTTGTCCGCCTCTTTTCCCCAGCGCTTCCAGAGACATCCCCATTCCAGGGGTTGACCCCAGTAGTTCGTAAATGGCAGGAAGACAGTTGGAGATAGGGTGACTAGTTTGAGAAGGACATTGGGATCATGCCGCTGCTGTCAGGTACTTACCCTTCGCCCCTCACATACTTGAGGAATCAGAGTCACAGATGGGTGGCACAGGCAGGTGTGCAAGCTTCAGCCACATGATTAGAGGCAGGGCAATCACCAGCCCTTGGGATTGTGACAGGGAGGACAGGTGACAACTTAAGCAGGAAATCCTTGAAAGATAGACTTGGTAAAAGGGTGTCAGCCTCAGAAAAACTAGGAGGTAGGGAGCTAGCTCCTGCTGGGACCTTCATTGCCAATGCTTGTGTCCAAAAGTGAAGCGGCTGGCACCCAGCAACAGGGTTGGCCTAGGAGCAGCTTATGGGGTCACATCCTCTCTATTTCCCAGCCTAAAGACTTTGGGAATGTTACTCAATTCACTGAGCCTTGTTATCCTAACATAAAATAGAACAGTAAAGTCCTACATGCCTAACAAAAACCACTGGTGAGGCCCAAATGCAGCGAGGTCAGGTGGGTGGTCTTCTGTCACCAAGAAGTGGTAGAGCTACTCATATGTGCTTCTCAATTGGTTAGATCTTAGTTCAAGGATAGACACAGTGGCTCATGCCTTTGTAATCCCAGCTGACAGGCAGATGGGGAGGATCAAGGTTCCAGACGAGCCTGGGCAAAAGTTAGGAAGCCCCCATCTGAACAAATGATCTGGGTGCGGTGGGATGCATCTGTCACCCCAGCTATGTGGGAAGTGTAGGTAGGAGAATCAGTCTGAGGACGGCCCCAGAAAAAAAAAAACATGAGACCCTATTCTGGAAAATAAATGAAGAGGCTGGGGGCATGTTTCATGTGACAAGTATAAGGCTTTGAGGTCGTACACCAGTACTGCCAATAAATAAATGAATCTGAGTTCAAGTCCCATGAAGCCTATCTTGCTATAATGATTTTGAGAAAATGACTTACTCTTTTGTTCCTTCATTGCTAATGTAAGGACACTTGTAATGTTGTTTATGGTTTGCTTTGTTGTTGAAGACTTGCTTGAATTCCCCAGTACAGCTTCATGAAAAGATTTTGTCAGTCTGTCTCTTGTGTGTCCTTAGCTCTGGAATAGTGTCTTAAAGACAGAGGTGCTCAGTAAAGCACATAGGGCTGGTCATGTGAATGAATGAAGGGTCTTTTGGCTACAATGACAGGGTGACTATACCTTCCATCGCCTTTGGGCGCTCACATCTTCCTCTCTTCCTTGCAGGACTCGGGTCAAGCTGGAGAGCCTGGAAGATGCTTACATCCTCCGGGGAGACGATGACTCTCTCTCTGACAAGCATGGCTGCCCGGCATACGTCAGCCCAGAAATCTTGAACACCAATGGCAGCTACTCGGGCAAGGCAGCGGACGTGTGGAGCCTGGGAGTGATGCTGTACACCATGTTGGTGGGGCGCTACCCTTTCCATGACATTGAGCCGAGTTCCCTGTTCAGCAAGATCCGTCGTGGCCAGTTCAACATTCCAGAGACTCTGTCGCCCAAGGCCAAGTGCCTCATCAGAAGCATTCTCCGACGGGAGCCCTCGGAGAGGCTGACCTCGCAGGAGATTCTGGACCATCCTTGGTTTTCTACAGATTTTAGCGTCTCCAATTCGGGATATGGTGCTAAGGAAGTATCTGACCAGCTGGTGCCAGATGTCAACATGGAAGAGAACTTGGACCCTTTCTTTAACTGAGCTCGTGGCCCACAGAGACTTAGCAGGTACCAGGAGCGAGAGAGGGCCCCAGAAAGGAGTTCTTCCAGGACACATATGGCCTGGCCGGGCAGCAAGACAGACACTTGCACTCACACGTTTCTTGGTTCAGAGGAGGAAAACCTTCAAGGAGCTAACTAAACCTGTAGCATGGGGAGGGGCAAGAGATGTGGGATAGGGGTTGGGGTCAGATGGTGGGTGGGAGCTCCCCCCCAGCTTCTCTTCCCAGGTGCAGCCTGGGAGACCCCTTCCCCTGTTGCTAGTTGGGCCGCTTCCACCTACCCCACTTTTCATTTTGTTAGATAGTTGCAGATCTTGATAGAATCAAACTCTCTGCCTCAAACACACATCTTGGCATTGCACTGTTAGCATTTAACTTCTTGTTATGATTTGGGGAAGGAACAATTGGCTGAAGACTTTTTTTTTTTTTTTTTTTAAAACAAGCCAACCACCTATGTGATGATAATGGAATTCATTTAAATAATTTGGTGCGCACAGACTGACCTGAAACCTGGGTGCTAAACTAAAAGATAGCAAAAGTCCAGTTGGTGTCTCTTAATCACTCTCTTCAACTCATTTCTTCTAAATAAACTATTTAATATCCTGGCTAATGCTTTGCTCCCTGAAGGGGAAAACTCTTCCTTAACTGGCTCTTGTGCTTCACATCTGTTGGTTTGTGGCAGGAAGGTATTAGTCAAACTTCAGATGCATTAGCACTATGGTAGTCGAAAGGGGAAGAAGAAAGGGAAAGAGAAATCCAACTTCTTTTTGTTCTTTTGAACGATGAGGCATTCCTCTTTGTACAGATGGTAGTGGCGCCAAAGTGGGCAGGAAGCTTCTGGAGTCTGATGCTTTTGCAACACTCTGATCTCAACTAAACATTTTGTCTTTGTTTTATGGGAAACTAGTGCAACCAAGCAGGTTGTCTCACATGTATAAAATACAGGGCAGCTAGTTAGTTTTCTTTATGAAGAATGAGGTTTTGGCTTGGAAGGCCCTCTGGTTTGATAATAAGCTGAAAGCTAAGATGATATAAATACAAACAGCTCTCTATCCCAATACGCACCTTTGTGTTTTCAAGAACTCTTCTATTTATTAAGGAAAATGTCACATTGTGATGTATTAAGCCAGTACTTCAATTACGGGTCGACTTGGGATGACATGTTACATGCTGTAGTTAACATTTATAATTTTTTTTCTTGTTTGAGTATTTCTGTCCCTGAAATAACTTTTATTTGGCTTTTCTAGATAGCTTTATTTGATTTCGAGTGGCAAAATGTTTTTTATTACGGCTTTTCTATTGCTGTATGATACAGAACTCTTTTGGCATAAATACTTGTGTTTCCAGTACCTCAGTTGTTGGAATTTTACTGCCTGTATATGTTTTGTGAAATGGTCCTGTTTTTTGGGTAGGTAACACGTGGACTCTAGTATGTAAATGTGACTTGAATCTGTGCTTCATTATAGTACGTGGCATGTGTGTGCAGACTCTTGGATGCTTCATACCTGCTCAGCAGGAATCCCTGTCCCCAGGAGGGCGGCTTCCCCATTCATAATCAGGAGACAAGGCGACCATGGATTTGCCCTTGATTCTATTTTAATAATGGAAGATTCAGACAGAGGAGAGAGGGGTTTTACACTCTGAAGATGGTGCTGTGGTGAGAAGGACTTTTTTCCTTCCCTCTCCCTATTTTTTAAGTACCTGGTAGGAGGAAAGATTGGTGACGTGCATGGAGGGGAATCTGTGGCCTCTGGTGCTTTGTCCTGTATTTGGTTTAATGTTTTTGTCCTAATCTCTTCAATCAATAAAATTGTGCGTATTTAACTAAAATCCGAGGTCTGGGAAATGATTTTCTGCTAACTGGTTTGTGGCCACCAAACATTAACCAGGAAGTTACACATGTCCTTAGGTATATAGGTGAACCATGATCACTATTTTTTTATTAGCACACAATAGTTGAACATCAGGATACATTGTGACATTTATATATGTGCTTACAATATAGCTTAATTAGATTCACCCCCTCCATTGTTCTCCCTCATCCCTTTCTCAGCATAATGATGACAGGTTTCATTGTTCTGTTTTTATACATGGATACAAAATACATCCACCGTCATATTTGCCCTCTTCACCTTTCCCTTATGGCCCTCCCTCCTAGAAAAGACCTGTCTTACCTTGCTGTCCTTCAGTTTTTTAAGTGTATATTGATGGCTCAAGGGTGGGTTGTTTGCCTTGGCAGCTCAGACATGTTTATATTGTGCTTTCATCAAACTAACCCCCCTATTTCTTACGGTTTTTCTGTCACCCTGCGCCCCTGTTATTCAACAGCTTATAGTGCATTGCAGTATATATCTTCATACACAGCTGCAAATTATTTCATCTGAAAAATATTTCAATATTTCTAATAGTTCTAACATTCTCTTTCCTTCCCCTGCTTCCCTATAATCCCCTCAGATAGACTCACTAATACAACATGGCACTATTTATAAAAGCTACCTTTCGTACTATTTGGGTGTGTGCTGGCCAATCTAGCTATAACAGCTTACTGAATTAACCTGTCGGGACAGCCTGAAGAGGAATGGATTACATTCCAGCTATACATTCGGAAATAAGCCCAGGAAAGTGGTGCGTTGTCCAGGGTCAAACATAAAATGTCCTGCAGATGATACAGCCAGGACTGCACCCCATGTCTGTTTCATCCCAAGCTTACTCACACTTCCTGTGATGTCAAAGCGCCTCAGTTCTCTGAAAGAGGGTAATAACAGCTCTGGAGCAATTGGGTTTGCCCTAGGAAGACACAAACAATCTGGCCTTTCACAGGATTACCTGGGAATAGCAGCATTTGCTAAAACTGGGTAGGAAATGTTCAAAGACACCCAGCTTCCATCAACTGATGCCTATGTGAGCCTTCTCTCTCTGAGGCTAGATTGGAAGAGCTAGATGGGCTCTGCTGGCAATCACAGCCCTTGTGCACATGGCTTAACAAGCAGTGTTAGCCCAGAGAGGCTCAGTTCCATCCTGAAACACTGAGTAAGCACCTTGGTGCATCAGGGAGCCAAACAGATGCAGTGAATGGAAGTGAGTGGGGAGGGAAACACAGGGTCCATGGAAGCCCACCTTCCATGATGAGCACCCCACTCATCTTTTAAGAAGTGTCCTGGAAGGAGTGATAATGGAAAGAAAAGGATTTAGGTAATGAGGTAAGGGAGACAGCAGTAGTGCTGCACGCAGAGGGAACCTGAGCCCAAGTTACCATCCTTAATGCCAACCTGTGGATGGAGCTCACCAAAGTCCTTGCAGACTGGGTTTGTGGTAAACAAGAGGACACGGCTGAAGCAGACTTTTTTAGCCAATGGAAAAATTTTTCTAAGTTAGCACAGTGCTTATTATTGACAGACATTATCTCTGTGTCACCAGCACCTGGCCAGGAACTGGCACAAGACCCAATGCCTAGCACCTGGAAGGTCTTTGTAAGTAAGTGTTCACGAACATGTCATTTGTGTCATGGGGAAGATGCTGCTAAATTTCTTTCCATCCCCAGGTTTCTAAGATGCATATCGTTAGAAAACACCCATTGAAGTATCAAAGCCTACAAGTGACATTTGTTAGGCCACATAGAGGCTGACCCAATTTCTTTGCTCTCTCCCTGCCTATTATTAAGCAGAGATGGGCCTGTTGCCTAATGACTGCCTGATTTAATTGTGTTGTCAAGTGTTCCCATGTGTGGTTACTGGGGGTGGTTCATTAACATACATGTTCCAAGCTTCTATCTAATGAGCTTCTTCTACCTGAATGGGAACCCAGACTCAGCAACCCCTTCCCTGCATTCCCTCCCCAAGTCTGAAGACTTCTGCCAATAGACAGCTTTGATACTCAAATGCTGTGGGGAATAGACAATTCCCTCTGCTCCCAGTCTGGACCTGGGACAGGGCAAAGGTTCCTGGGCCGTGGGGATCAAGGGCAGAAGCATGGGGAAGAAACAGGCCTGAACTCTGAATCTCTACTCTCATATTAGCTGTGACCTGGCAAATCACTTAACTTTTATTAGGACCGAGGGTGTTGTGAAGGTTGACTGAGTTGTCAAGGGCTTAGTGCTGGGCCAGGCTGGAATAGGAACCATTACTATTATCAATCAAGAGGATAACAGGGCAGAGCTCTTTTGACTGGGGAGCGGTGCTGGAATTGTGAATATATTAGGAGCCATCAGGGAGAGATGAGAAGGACCCACTGAGACCTCCCCTGCTATAAGCAAAATACCCCTCTTGAATCAATTTTAGACATGTATTTGTAATGCAGGCTTCTAGGAAGGAAAGGAAAAGGCTCTGTTTCTGTATATGCACTGTGATCTGAATGTTTGTGTCCCTCTGAAATTCACATGTTAGAACTGAATGCATAATGTGATAGTATTAAGAAGTGAGGCCTTTAGGGAAGTAGCTGAGTTACAAGAGTTCCACCCTCATGAATCTCATGAATGAGATTAGTGTCCTTATAAAAAAGGTTCAGGGAGCTGCCTTGTCCTTTATCCACCAAAGTGTATCAAGCTGCTGTCTTGAAGCAGAAAGTGATGCACACTATCCCCCAACACACATGCACTGAATCCGTTACTGCCTTCGTATTGGACTTCCCTGTGTCTGGACTTGTGAGAAATAAATTTTTACTATTTATAAAGTGCATTCTAGTATACTTTGCTACAGCAGCCAAACAGAGCAAGGCAATATGTGTGAAAATCATTGATCAAGTCCAATTCTAACATTTTTTGAGAAAGCAATTAAGATCCAGAGAGGGAAAAGCGCAGTCAGGACCAGAGTCACCCAAAGAACAAGTGAAGAAGTGTGGACTATAAGGTCAAGGTGTGTAGGGACTTTTGACTAGACTGCCCTCCATGAACTCCAGGGCTTGCTATCAACTCAATTTTCATCATAATCCAAAGTCCTCTCCACCATGGGCTTCTTCCCTGACCCAGTCCATCCTCTTGGGTGACAAGCTTTGTGACCAATTTCTAATGGGTGTCAGATAATAGTCTGCAATAATTAAGAGCCATGGTTATGCACAAATGCCTTAAAGTGTTCTTACTCATCATCTGTGGCTTTTAGATCCTTCCATGTGCACGAGTCAGAGAATTGCCCAGAATTCCAACAGCAAAGAAGGATCAGGAAATCCAGCTTTCAACCTGAATCCCACACTGTGCCCACGAATGGCCTTTCTTGGGCCAATGTCATCTCTGTACATACCAGGTGGGGTATGCCTGCTTTCACTGCAGGAAACCAACCCCTGAAACAAAGAGGCAGCTTAGGAGATGGAGAGAAGAACAAAATAGTAATCAAAATCTATTTTACGCAAGCACCAGCCTTTTAAAGCAGGGAACAAGTTTTACAAATGAGTAAGGTGAGATTAAATGAATTGAAGGAGGCCATACTGCTAATAAATGGCAAACCCTCTATTTGACCCCAGGGATCCCAGTCCTCAAAGCCATTCTGCACTGATCCTTCTCAACACAGACAAAAAATGCTAAAACATGGGAGTACTGCCAGATCCTTCTCTTCCCTCTCACACCCATTCTGAGAATGTTTTCAGTAGCTTGCTGACTCAAGGGGATAGATAGACA